ACAGAACGTCGTATATATCTGGTGAGTTTAAGACAAAACGTTGTATATATCTGGTGAGTTTAAGACAGAACGTTGTATATATCTGGTGAGTTTAAGACAGAACGTCGTATATATTTGGTGAGTTTAAGACAAAACGTTGTATATATCTGGTGAGTTTAAGACAGAACGTCATACATATCTGGTGAGTTTAAGACAGAACGTCATACATATCTGGTGAGTTTAAGATAGAACATTGTACATATCTGGTGAGTTTAAGATAGAACATTGTATATATCTGGTGAGTTTAAGACAGAACGTTGTATATATCTGGTGAGTTTAAGACAAAACGTTGTATATATCTGGTGAGTTTAAGATAGAACATTGTACATATCTGGTGAGTTTAAGACAGAACGTTGTATATATCTGGTGAGTTTAAGACAGAACGTTGTATATATCTGGTGAGTTTAAGACAGAACGTCGTATATATCTGGTGAGTTTAAGACAGAACGTTGTACATATCTGGTGAGTTTAAGACAGAACGTCATACATATCTGGTGAGTTTAAGATAGAACGTTGTATATATCTGGTGAGTTTAAGATAGAACGTTGTACATATCTGGTGAGTTTAAGATAGAACGTTGTATATATCTGGTGAGTTTAAGACAGAACGTTGTATATATCTGGTGAGTTTAAGATAGAACGTTGTATATATCTGGTGAGTTTAAGACAGAACGTTGTATATATCTGGTGAGTTTAAGACAGAACGTCGTACATATCTGGTGAGTTTAAGACAGAACGTTGTACATATCTGGTGAGTTTAAGACAGAACGTTGTATATATCTGGTGAGTTTAAGACAGAACGTTGTACATATCTGGTGAGTTTAAGACAGAACGTTGTATATATCTGGTGAGTTTAAGACAGAACGTCATACATATCTGGTGAGTTTAAGATAGAACATTGTACATATCTGGTGAGTTTTAGACAGAACGTCGTACATATCTGGTGAGTTTAAGATAGAACGTCGTACATATCTGGTGAGTTTAAGATAGAACATTGTACATATCTGGTGAGTTTAAGTTAGAACGTTGTATATATCTGGTGAGTTTAAGACAGAACGTTGTATATATCTGGTGAGTTTAAGATAGAACGTTGTACATATCTGGTGAGTTTAAGATAGAACGTTGTACATATCTGGTGAGTTTAAGACAGAACGTCGTATATATCTGGTGAGTTTAAGACAGAACGTCGTACATATCTGGTGAGTTTAAGATAGAACGTTGTACATATCTGGTGAGTTTAAGATAGAACGTCGTACATATCTGGTGAGTTTAAGATAGAATGTTGTCCATATCTAGTGAGTTTATATCAAAATGAAATAAAAATGCTATGGTATTACGTTTGAATTTGAGTTCTATTCAGTTATGCCTTACTTTCGGTCAAACATGACTTTCATTAACCCTTTAACATATTTTTGCAGCATAATTATGCACTAACTTCGAATTTCGTTTCAGGATAAGCTATATATAGAGAGAATACATAAAACTGTATTTTGGCGAGGTCAAGAAAGATAACTTTTGTCTCCCGAGCCAAAATGCAGCTTATATTTTAATACTTACCATGTATTTTATTTATCCTGCAGCATTAATTGCTAATCAGGCTATCAAAACTTCAACATTTTATTGTTCATTCCTTCTTTACCTGTCGTTGACGTTAGACTGAATTTTGCCTCGTGACGTACGCCAAAATAATTGCTCCGCACAGAAATGTAGTTCCAAACTTCAACGGATACGACTATGATTTTATGAGTTTTCGTAAATAAACTTGTACATTACTTGGCAACATATAAAACAACTTATTTCAATAGTTATTTATATTGTTAAACGTATTCTTTTTTCAGTAAATTAAGAAATCAATACTGTCGAATTTACGCATGTGCCAAAATACTGCTGTTTCTTGTCACTGCCGAATACAGCAAAACTATATGTGGCAGGTGTATTCCGACCATGGCAGTGCCAGTTACAGGATAAGGATATAGGCTTCACCAGGTTCCTCGACAATGTCTTCAAACGTTAATTTTTTTATTGACCATGTCAAATGTCCATACATTCAGTGATAACTTAACTTTGTGGTTTTTTCTGTATCACAACTCAATATTTACTGAAAGTATGTAATGTAAGTAGATCTGAAATATTCTGTATATCGTATATCCAATATATAAGAAACAGAAATGAGCAATATAATCGTTGCCCTACAAACGACACTGTGGTAGAGGCTGGGACAGTATGAAGTAAAATTTCAAGGGGAAATTTTGCATTTTCTCTGGAATTGAGATCCATGCTTCCTGTTTCATATGTGTATTTTTGAGATTCAAGATACACACAGGCATAATTTAAAATATTACGTTGATAAAAATAACAGATGGTTAATGTACGTATATGTAATAGTGAAAAATTGAATAATTACGGAGGAGTGGTGGTTTTGACATATTCTTGCGAGATATGCAGGTAGATGTTTTCGATATTCTTTGTAGATTCAGTTATGTTTATTTCGTTCACTTTGGTCGACCAAGACTTACATAGCGGATGTAGCCGAAGAAGAAGTTCTAAGCAGTTTATCCTTTCGGGACACCTTGTTCTTATTCTTTGAATTTCTTTAAGATATTCGTGCAAATATTTCTTCAGGTCGTATTTTACTCTCATTTCTTCGATTTTGGATTTGAACAAAGTAACACTACAATTTTGATTTGGTCATCTCATAAGAAGTTATCATTTATTTGTTTCCATATAATGAGAGGACAAAGATTTAAATAATTCACATCGCTTTCTCACATTTTGTTGATCCTAATCAACACAGTGAGAATAACGATAGTATTCAGTGGTATAAGTATAATTTATTCTATAATTAGTAACACAGGTATCATATTACAAACATATACACCTGAAACGAAGCTTAAAACACTTATTATTTTCCTGACTTAATGGTTGTATTTACCTCGGTATCCCAGCCGGAGATCTTGTCCGTCATTCCTGTCGTATTTTGTTAATCACATATGGCTACGAGTGTCGATTTTAAATCCACTACTTTACCGATATACGTAAACAAATGACTGGAAATGTCATTATTTTTCATAGTTATTAACCTTCCGTCTGTGCGTTTGTTTTCACAAAAATTAAAACAATTGAAAACGTTTGGTCCAATAGATAGCATTGTATTGATAAATGTGATATGGTATTTGTGTTACACTACTTCCTACAAGATAACAGGACTAGACCTGCAGTCATACTGCACTGGTATATAGGTATGATGACGAGTCGCGTGAGCTATATATAATCTGCACAGTGTTTATTTATACATCTGTAATTTGAAGATTTCTAACACGGAAGTACGTTTTCTGATTCTACTTCATCATATATTCTTCACGTGTCTTTGAAATGTTCAAGATATAATAACCTTACGGAAAATGTATTTCTGTGGGTTACTGTGGGTAACATCACCTTATATAAATAATACTTGTGTCTAATGATGATATCCAGTTACAAACACTAGACTGGACTTACATACCCATGCTTTTATGGTATCTGCTGTACATAGCAGTTAGCTATATAGACGGACGGTGTGTATAAATCCCTGATAGCATGAATGACCGTGTTCATAATTTCTAAGAGAAGAAAAAATATCGATACCATTCTATGGTAATGGTGACAAGGGTTGTAATTCCTGACATGAGAAAACTGGACGTAATTTTTTTTAAATTGTGTATATATATATATAAAAAAAAACTTAGATAAAACTGGAAAACACGTGTTTTCTGGACATGGAGAATTTACCATATTTTCACTATATATATTTCTGATCAATGAAGTAATAGCAACATTACGGACAAGTGAATTGTCAAATTTTCGAGGCAACCTGCCCCTTTATCAAGACACAAATATTACAAGAATTACATCACATACATAGAACATAAAACAAATGCAAAGTTATAAATCTAAATCGAGAGCGGTGGTGTAAATTTAGGTGTCTCGATAATCCCTTCTGTCGATGGACGCCGAAGGCCCTTTATAGCGGACCAAAAAAACCATCACAAGTAGTTGTATGTACGATAGTGATTAAAATATCAAAAATATTTTACATAAATATAGGATATGTTTTGCACTCTTAAAAACTCTAGATATATGATCAAGTGACCGTTAATTTTATCTACACATACATTACCTTTAAAGAATGTTTTATCTTTCTAACGAATGTTTGATAAACGAGATTGACCGAGCATTTGATAAGTTATGAATTCGGAACTATATGTAGAAATGGCAAGGTAGACATTTCACTGCCAGGTTGAAACACGCCCCATCATATATCGTATATTATTATTTATGACACAAAATATAAAAAAAAAACTTTACAAAAAGCTGCCAAGTTAACAAATATAAGCCATTTTGCGATAGCGTAGAAAGCCATGTCAGAAGCATATATATAGGAGATCGGGTATGTTGCAAGAATTATCTTTATTCGTGGTATATGAGTTGCAAAAGACACAATTGCCATTATGGTCTTGACGTGTACGTATAATAAATAGTGTTCCGAATCACATACGAGCATTCGGTGAACACAAAAACAAGATAAAAGCACCGAATACATCGTATGAGCAATTTGAGCCCGGAATATGATATTCCTGGGGAAAATTACGACTTGCTTTGTTTGAGATTTGAGTTAGTCAATCACCAACTTACACTGCCTGGACAGTTTCTATTTCAAGTTATCCCAATCAGTTCTTTTCCTACTGAAACTGATCTGGACATGCCGTTGCCATCGGTGCAATTGGTAGTAATTGAAATGAAGCCAAATAGTTGTTAGTTTTTATTTGCCGTGTTGTTCACCTGGATTTGTTGCACATATTTGCTCTTTGCGGTATTTATGAAACAATATTGGGATTTTAATTCGGAAGGTCTCGGCCTTTTTCAGAAACAGGAAGTGACGTTTGCTATAGCAACAAAACTTGGTTACGATTATTTATCCCTGTTTGTGCAGCAAATAGATTCATCTCGGTAGTATACCATTCACTACAAACCATGGCTGCTAATCAAGAAACAGAGGTAATTATAATATGTTCAAGACGATTTTTTATCTATAATATCCCTCGATCGATTACGATTTTCGATTACAACAGATGTTTGGGTTCGGGAAGTCACTTGGAAGTCTTCTATTTAGAGGGCAGTGTATAATTGTATTTTGAACATTATAAACGAATCCGATTTCCTTATGGTAAGTGAGGTTATAATTCCATACGTCCGATTCAATCGGTTTTCGGCATAAGAACTGAAACACTGATAATTCTGAATGAAACGTATGTAAGCGTACAACAGTCTATAAAGTATACCATAGGTACCAGCCTCGTCTGTCAATGTACTAGTAAGTACGAGTGTATTGACAGACGAGGCTGGTACCCGTGGGCTTACTTGTTAATTCAGATGTTTTTAAACCTTACCAGTATTTAGATTATGAACGATAGATGTACAATCTAATTACTGTCAGACCCAGGCTCTTGTGATTGTTATGATTCTTAATTTAAGTGCATTGTACAAATTCTTTAGTCTATATTTTGTTGATTTGGAGGTTGAAGTGGTAAAAATGGGACCAGGTGGCGTACCAGAGGGATCAAAGACTGCTGAATTCTACAGAACCGACAATATCCCTACACGTTTTGATAACCCAGGTTTGTTGGCAATCATTTCACAATATTGGGCATATTTTGAAAGTTTATAAATTATAAATTACACATATAAACATAAATGGATTTGTGTTATTCCCTCTCTTAGCTCACTGACTCAAATTATTTGGTTAAACATTTGATTGATTAAAGTGAAAACAAAAGTTATGATTATGCACATTGAGTAATATATCCAAATAACATCGAATGAACACTTGATTTATCATTTGATTGAAATAGTGTAAGTGTTTACAGTGTATATAAAAGAAAACTATATAGTTGCATACTAATAAAATAAAAATTAAAAAAAAAAAAAATTTTATTCGGAATATTTATGTTTTGAGACCCAATTTGCAATCTAAAAAACGTAGGTGTGTTTTCATATTGAAATCTGTCCTTATCCTATTAGCATTCATGTGTCCATGAATGTCAACTGAAAGCAGTTCAATATTTATCATTTTTTATTTTCCTCCTGGTCTAATAAGGCAGCACATCCTCATTTTGTTTAATTGCAATATTCATGTGCAATAATACACCACTGACTTTGGTAATTAGGTTTTTTCGTTGTGGCAGTGTGCCATATAGTAGTAAATATATCATTATAAATATATTTGTAACAGGATTTTACATGTTGTTATAATTGATGTTCACAGTATGTATTTCTAAATTATGAAATGCTTTTGTAAGTTTATGTATTATTTAATATTAATCCAGTGCAAGAAACATGGCTTTTACATGTGTATATCATCTCCCTTTACTTCAGACTGGTTCCAGGGCTACGGAGGTAAAGACCAACATCCCATGTACAGAACCACATCATGTACATATGGAGCCAAACCACCATCAGTTCACACTATGCCAACTACCTTTCACTGCAGATCACAAAAGTTCTCTGAGGTATATACAAAAATCTTCAAATCTAACATCAAATCTGATAGAACATATTTCTTTCTGGAAGGTTTTTGTCTCTATATTTTGGAAAAACATTTTTGGCACATTCTGCTTTTAATACTACAAATACTTTATGAAATTAATTGATGGTTTACTATACATACTTCAAAAAATAATCTTTTGGAAGCTATTACAATTCTGAACATTTCATCTGGCCATTGGCCCTTGTATCAGAATTGGGACAATATCAATTTCTGGTTCATTTCTGTTGAAATTGGCAGCAAATGATATTGCTAGTGGTCCTGTAATAAGCCCACCTCATAATTTGCATCACCTTTTTTGTGGTTGATCCCGTAGACTTACAGTGAGGTCAACATTAACTTTAATGGTTTTCTATTCTCTGTTGGAGACTTATGTAGGAATAACATTGTCGAAATGTAGCGGTTTCTGTCAAACAATTGTTACATTCCAGTTTTTCTGATATAGTAATTCATTAAAATGTCTACATTTTTTATCTTGCAGCAACTTGGGAAATGTGGAATGTACAGAAACCATTCTCTCAACACTGCCCTGGATATAAGTCGTGTTTAATCTTACCCTTATAACAACACAAACACTTTCAATTGAAACTGATATGGATGTGATACATTAAAACTACATATTGGATTAAAAAAAATTAGGAATTCAAATTTCAGATTATTGAAAAACTAAAAAGTTTATAAAAACCGTAGATTTAATTAGAGAGAAGATTGTAGATACTTTACCTGACATCAAAATGAAAGCACAGGTTTGTTGAGGTTTAAAGTTGTTCTTCACCTTTGTTATTGTGTACATGGCTGTATATGAGAAATGTAAGTTAGTGTCAGGTGGATGGAGGCTAGATTCTCTAGCTCTGAAGTAAAACTCTATAATAACAGAATATTCAGGAGGATTGAACTCAAGTTAGATTGTTTTGAATATTAAATACAGTTCTACTAATGCTTGTTGGTGTAAATATCTGTAGAAATGGAAAACATGAAAGAAACAGTATGAGTTGTACAGTTTTAAATCAGAAATAAAGAATTGTGGTCTGAATGACAGGATTTTGTTAAATTTGTGACAAAAATATTTATTATCGTCATTTCTGTTTTAATTTGTACATAATCAATCTATACAGATTTGTTTATCTGATGTGAAAGTTTTTATCATGCAATTGATGAATAAACATATTTGTGGAAGTCTGCTTTGATATAGTTATATATATATATATATTACAAATGGGTGGGGGTGGGGGCAATTTTCAATACACTCTGTGTTTGCCTGTAAAAATATGTAGATGCAATGTTCTACCGGTGGCTTTGCTAATTGTTGTATAGATACACAAGTGTTCAATAATAAATGTTTAATTGCTGTTTTGATTGCTTACAAAGAGTTTTCGAATATTAATGCTTTGCAAAACATTATTGATCTTTATGTCATTGCTTATGTATAGATTTGGTAGATACAAACAGAGGAAGAACAAGATTATTTACCCTTCATTTTATAAAATTCTTCCGTTACATTTGTTAATTTTTTTGGTTTATCACCCAGCCAGGGTCATTTTAAGTTGGGATCTCCTTTTAGTAGCTGGTGGCTACCTCACTGAACAACATAAAGGAGGTCCATTTCATACCATCCAGAGAAATTATGTTCAATTATTTTGCCAAAGGACACAACTGCGTAAGCACAGACAAATCTGCTTAATTCTCAACTTTCAGAGAATCACAAGCCAGTCTGAGTAGTGAGTGAGGTACCACAGTACCTGAGACCGGAGGTTTCATGTACTGAAGCAATGCACTGCTGTAACCGACAGCTATCATAGCCCCTCCCAGTCACATTTCTCAAGAGCTTATCTTAGACATTTTTTAAAATTCATATCCTGGTTACAATTTGGTTATGTAAGAACATTTAAGAGTACATTTTATGATATGATTATTTACAATGACATTTGAACTCTTTTATTTGAAGAATAAAAATGTCTATAATCTAACTTAGCAGTATTACATTTTAGAAATGCTTTTCTTGTGATCTTAATGAGTTTTTGAGGCAGCAGAATATCAAAATGTAGTGAAGATGGGTCAATCTATAAACAATGTTTTTTTTGTTTTTTTTTTTTGTGATACTACACTTAGTGATATTGTAAAATACTTGCCAAAGACATTACTAGTAATATCTTTTTGTGTTTTTTTTTTTTTTTTTTTGTGTTTTTTTTTTTTTTTTTTTTTTTTTTTTTTTTTTTTTTTTTTTTTTTTTTTTTTTTTTTTTTTTTTTTTTTTTTTTGTGTTTTTTTTTTTGTTTTTTTTTTTATTTTTTGCCTTGATTCACCATCATTACTTACTGGTAAATCTATGAGTAAAAGGCTGTATTATGTAGAAAATTGATATACATAAGGACAATATGGCTATGTTTCAACATTTGGCTTTACTATGAACATTTTCTAGGAACACCAAACTTTGTGCAGATAATCTTTAATCTTTGAATAACTAGATTAAACCTGTTCTCAAACCTTTACTTCTTCAAAGTTTATTAAAAAATAGCTATTATAACATAAAATATTTGTTTGTAAATAAATATATATGTAAACACTTTGTAGGGTCACTAAACAATATACACACACAATCTTAAAGGTAGCATATATGCACCCAGAAGTAAAACATCGTGACATTGGAGTGATGTTATGGTTGGGTTTTGAAGGCAAGATACTTGGTTTGAGTGTTAAACAAAAAATTAACCATACAACTGAAAATTTAAGTACAATCTGGCAGGGTTTTGCCCGAGTTTAAAAAAAACAGAAAAGAAAAAATGGCCATACTCATAACAAAGACCTTTAAACCACGACATCTCGAATACAATGCTATCTAGTATCGGTGGCCATCAGAACAACGTTGAATAGAATTAGTGGCCATCAGAACAACGTTGAATAGAATTAGTGGCCATCAGAACAACGTTGAATAGAATTAGTGGCCATCATAACAACGTTGAATAGAATTAGTGACCACCAGAACAACGTTGAATAGAATTAGTGGCCATCATAACAACGTTGAATAGAATTTGGCCATCATAACAACGTTGAATAGAATTAGTGGCCATCATAACAACGTTGAATAGAATAAGTGGCCATCATAGCAACGTTGAATAGAATTAGTGACCATCAGAACAACGTTGAATAGAATTAGTGGCCATCATAACAACGTTGAATAGAATTAGTGACCATCATAACAACGTTGAATAGAATTAGTGACCATCATAACAACGTTGAATAGAATTAGTGGCCATCATAACAACGTTGAATATAATTAGTGGCCATCAGAACAACGTTGAATAGAATTAGTGGCCATCATAACAACGTTGAATAGAATTAGTAGCCATCATAACAACGTTGAAAAGAATTAGTGACCATCATAACAACGTTGAATAGAATTAGTGGCCATCATAACAACGTTGAATAGAATTAGTGACCATCAGAACAACGTTGAATAGAATTAGTGGCCATCATAACAACGTTGAAAAGAATTAGTGACCATCATAACAACGTTGAATAGAATTAGTAGCCATCAGAACAACGTTGAATAGAATTAGTGACCATCATAACACACTTTGAATAGAATTAGTAGCCATCAGAACAACGTTGAATAGAATTAGTGACCATCATAACAACGTTGTATAGTATTTGTATTCATCATAACAACGTTGAATAGAATTAGTGACCATCATAACAACGTTGAATAGAATTAGTGACCATCATAACAACGTTGAATAGAATTAGTAGCCATCAGAACAACGTTGAATAGAATTAGTGACCATCATAACAACGTTGAATAGAATTAGTAGCCATCAGAACAACGTTGAATAGAATTAGTGACCATCATAACAACGTTGAATAGAATTAGTGACCATCATAACAACGTTGAATAGAATTAGTGACCATCATAACAACGTTGAATAGAATTAGTGACCATCATAACAACGTTGAATAGAATTAGTAGCCATCAGAACAACGTTGAATAGAATTAGTGACCATCAGAACAACGTTGAATAGAATTAGTAGTCATCAGAACAACGTTGAATAGAATTAGTGACCATCATAACAACGTTGAATAGAATTAGTGACCATCATAACAACGTTGAATAGAATTAGTAGCCATCAGAACAACGTTGAATAGAATTAGTGACCATCATAACAACGTTGAATAGAATTAGTGACCATCAGAACAACGTTGAATAGAATTAGTGGCCATCATAACAACGTTGAATAGAATTAGTGGCCATCAGAACAACGTTGAATAGAATTAGTGGCCATCAGAACAACGTTGAATAGAATAAGTGACCATCAGGACAACGTTGAATAGAATAAGTGGCCATCATAACAACGTTGAATAGAATTTGGCCATCATAACAACGTTGAATAGAATTAGTGACCATCAGAACAACGTTGAATAGAATTAGTGGCCATCATAACAACGTTGAATAGAATTAGTGGCCATCAGGACAACGTTGAATAGAATAAGTGACCATCAGGACAACGTTGAATAGAATAAGTGGCCATCATAACAACGTTGAATAGAATTTGGCCATCATAACAACGTTGAATAGAATTAGTGACCATCAGAACAACGTTGAATAGAATTAGTGACCATCATAACAACGTTGAATAGAATTAGTAGCCATCAGAACAACGTTGAATAGAATTAGTGACCATCAGAACAACGTTGAATAGAATTAGTAGTCATCAGAACAACGTTGAATAGAATTAGTGACCATCATAACAACGTTGAATAGAATTAGTGACCATCATAACAACGTTGAATAGAATTAGTAGCCATCAGAACAACGTTGAATAGAATTAGTGACCATCATAACAACGTTGAATAGAATTAGTGACCACCAGAACAACGTTGAATAGAATTAGTGGCCATCATAACAACGTTGAATAGAATTAGTGGCCATCATAACAACGTTGAATAGAATTAGTGGCCATCAGGACAACGTTGAATAGAATAAGTGACCATCAGGACAACGTTGAATAGAATAAGTGGCCATCATAACAACGTTGAATAGAATTTGGCCATCATAACAACGTTGAATAGAATTAGTGACCATCAGAACAACGTTGAATAGAATTAGTGGCCATCATAACAACGTTGAATAGAATTAGTGGCCATCAGGACAACGTTGAATAGAATAAGTGACCATCAGGACAACGTTAGTGGCCATCATAACAACGTTGAATAGAATTTGGCCATCATAACAACGTTGAATAGAATTAGTGACCATCAGAACAACGTTGAATAGAATTAGTGGCCATCATAACAACGTTGAATAGAATTAGTGGCCATCATAACAACGTTAATTAGAATCAGTGACCATCAGAACAACGTTGACAGGAAATGACTAGTCATCACAGCGTTGGTCAAGTGACAGCCAGTACAGCACTCAATCGATGATCATCAAAACGGCGTTTTAAATCACTTGGTTTCAGCAGAGACGTATATAAATACGTCTCTGGTTTCAGCCAAAACGACACCACAACTTAGTTTAACGTATATGCATGTATATAACAAATATTACGAGTAAATCGTTAATTTGTGATCACATGACCACCATAAAAACGGAAACTAGAGTTTTTGATAATAAGGCATCGAATGCTGAAAGGATAGTTAGATCAAATCAGGGGTAGTTATAAGGAAAAAAACAAACAAGAGAGGGAGAGAAAAGTATGGACTTGCTACTTTATCATACTATATTTTGTCGTTGTCGGATATTAGTGTATCTATGCGAAAGAGAGATACCGAACGGAAGTAAATATTGGGCAATTCGATTTCCTTGTTTGTCAATATTGATATGTACATTGCACATTAATCATTCTTTCTGCTGTGCTGACTCGAAGACAGGAAGTGATGAATTCTTAGGTAACTTGTAAAACGATTTTAGACAGAATCATAGGGTTCTGAGACAGGAGTGCAGTCAATGGTAATTTCTTTTTCGTTTTCTATTCAGTCTCAATTGACAGGATCTTATAGAAAAAAAAGCAGAGTTGATATGCGTATATCGTGAAATAAGGACGGACTCCGTGATCTAATTTTGATTCATAATGATCATTCCAAACAGGCATGAATATGTATTTTAAGGATATAGACCTGATCGTTGTGAATATCAAATTTTAACATTAAAAACAGACGAGACGGTTCGAACACACATTAACAATATAATGACCACAGTGGATCCGATTCGAGATTGTGAGATTGTATGCATTAACATTGACCATCACGTGTACCTGTTAAATACGTATACGCATATATACTGATATTCAATGACTGATGAATGTGCATGCATGTGTGAGACAAGAGATCTACATGCAGAGGTATAAATTTTGGATATTAGGCAATGCAGTTAGTTGAACCAAAGGCATGTGCACATGTGATATTTATGTTTCATACATGGTAGACTATCTGGTATTAATTAAAATGTCAAGAATTAAGTAAAGTTTTACCAGATACAAACACATGTGGAGTAACACATGTTCAGATAAGGCCTTATAAACTTATACCAAACATCAAACTTGGCCTGATGACGAAATATAAAACTCAAAAAAGTTGTATGTATTCACAATCTCACAACATTGTTATTCATGTGGTATAATCCAAAAAGCATGGGAAAATATACATATTGTTTATGATTCTTTTTGCACTGCGATGTAAATTTGATTATAAGAAATGAAAAGGATTGGTGACTGTTCACAACAGTTACAGAATCAATTAGCAAATCCCCTTGGTTAAGAACATGAGAATACGGCACTGACAAGCTAAGTGGGTGATACCTGTGTGAGAATACGATCGAGAGGGGATGAGATTAGTGTTAATTGCTTCCACACGACTTTTTCACTTTCATTTCTCTGGTGTTGTGACATTTTTTTTTGTGTGTTACACATGTACTCAATGTATTTTCACAGCATAAATCTCTTGTTATTGCAGTTGTGTTGTTGATTTCAAGGTCAAGGAAGAAAAAAACAACAAAACAGATTGGTTTTGGTTATAACCAAAGAAAACTCTAGATCTGCTAAGCAAAAACCAGTTGCTATACTAATGTTCATGTTCCTGTGACTTTTCCTGGATAGTATAAGAATATAATATATATATATATCAATGTGTAATTTGTTTATTTTTTCAGGTGGATAATTTTCCTGGAACTTGTAGATTAACCAAGACAGATATGAAAGAGCTTCTTAAGAAATTTTATCTTCACTTAGTTACAACTGCGATAGCATGTTTTCCATTGATAAGTGGAGCTCCAGGTGAGTTAATATAGATTGGAAACCAGCTCCAGGTGAGTTAATATAGATTGGAAACCCAAAATATGTAAATATGTTGTATGCCGAAAGGTGGCCATTTTGAATTTCTGCAAGGAAAGTTTGTTATTTGTTTTGGTTTCTAGATGTGCCCGTATTACATTTGTGACAGATTAGAAAAAACAAAAAATCGCTGACAGACGACCATCTTGTATTTGGCAGTTACATATTATTTTCACTGTTTTTTAAAGAAATTTCGAAATTTTATTTGATTAAAGCAAAATCGAAGGAAAGAAAAGAATAGAAAAGATCCAACTTTTAAAAAACTAATGAAGATGTGAAAATGGTGGCACCATATATGCCTGATCTATGCTGGATCTCTTGTTCACTTTCTATAGTTTGTTGAAATTTTAGGACTAATAAACAAAACAGGGTTAGGAATGTACATGTATGTTGTCCATCATGGTAAGGGAGGAAACATTTAAATAATCTTTGGGACAGAAAATGACCTGAAAGTTCTATAAAACATTGCGAAAGATACATATACATGTATCTGTAGAAAAGAGTTGTATTATCTGTACGAACCCCACAATGTCTGAAATATTTATGAATGTAAATATAAACTTCATATCTTTTACAAAAATTGCGAAACAAGCTTTGAGTTTATATTAATCTGTCTTGTTGGCCGGGATGGAAGTCTGCGAGAGGTAAAACCTATGCGGTTGGGCAGGTGACCCCATACCTTTTTAAGTCAGTTCCAAGAATCGAACCCAGGACGCGTAGGTGAAAGGCAGTGCATTACCACTTCACCACCCAACCATCTGACCACCATTTTAAATTTATCATTATATCCAATTATGAAACATGGTTGTCAAACTTAAGTGCCTGAAATTTTCCGGACTCATTATACAGTATTGGAGTTGTAATATAAACAGTACAGGTCATCAGTTCAATCAGATTTGTCTAAGTTAAAGGAATGTCATAATTGATATTTACATTTGTACGTGTGTCAACATGTATTGTGGATATTGGAATAACCTGATCTATATTATCAATTAAAAATGGATTTGAAGAGTGATATGACTGAGTCATAGTCTCTGTATAGTTACAGGGATTAAATATGTTTGAGTTCAAGACTTAGAAATATTGAAGCAATTATATTTTTTCTTCCAGTGGGTGACTCCACAGACCTAACTAACAGCTGGTTGTTGACCCATCCTGTCGCGGTATTGATCATCTCCTCATGTGTCCTACTCCTCACCGCCATACTTCTTGCCATCCAGTGTGGAGGATGTACAGAGATGGAGGTAGGAACAGACAGCCATCCGGCTGCAGGAGGAGACGGTAAACCATCAGGTGGAGCAGTAACATTCTCCTCTCCATTAGACATAAACGGTGAATCTAACACAGGTGGCGCTGGTTTACCATACTCTCTCAACCCAAACGTAAATACAACTCCAGGCTTTGCCGGATATCAGACTGTTGGAGGTAACAATATCGCTGGATATGGACAAGGAGGTATGCAAACAGCTGGGGGTTATCAAGCTCCCATGTCACCCAGTACACCTGCTATACAAACTCAGGGATATCAAGTACAGAGTCAGCCAGATGCACCCACACTAGGCCCTCATGCTCACAGACCTGCGGTGGAACCTCCACCACCGTCTTACAATGAGAGTGTTGGAAGAGGGTGGATCACACGTCCACAGTGAGTTATAGACTGTACGTTTTGCAGAATTAGTGATACTGCATCCACTGCTGTACAATTTCAGAAGTGTCCTCTTAGTATACTGCAATCAGTGTCTGATCTATTGTGTATGAAGATATTGAATAAGAATAAAATATTTGTTAATTTGTTTGTAAGGTTGAATCTCTGTGATTTGATATAGTTAAGTGCTAGAATATGAAAGTAATTGTGTTCAAATAACCTGTTAGGTGAATAGAGCATCAGCAGCTTTAAAGTAGTTGTTGAGAAGCTGTTGACATTCAGGCATGATTTGGTCCTATCATTAGAAAACATTTTTTGCTACTCATAGGTTTTTTTTTCTTAAAGTCAGACATGAACCCACTGGTAATCATATTTGCTAACCTCTACCGTTTAAGTCAGGAAGATTCTTAATTTTTTACCTCTGTTTTATTCGAATCTTACTTATGTAAATCAGTTCAACTTTTTTCGTTATTCAAACTTCTAATAATCCAATAAGTATAAAATACTGAATAAGCTATATAATATTTAGGTACAATATACTACTTGTATTTAAATGTAGAAGTTGAGAGTACAGGTCACCTTATTAGCTTTGGTTTAATGTGAATTTCCCTATAGTCAAGCGGTAGAGTGTCTGACTAGAGCTAATTCTTGCACCAATGCCGACGGGATGTTTTTCCTTACTCCTTACTATAACATAAAGTTTGTCAAAAGTAAAGCAATATATATACTTTTCCAAATATTGAAAATTTGACAGGACTATTTTTCTCCCAGTGATATTTCATGAAAGTGATGTTCTCCATGCTCAAGTACTACTGTACTAATGATAGGTATCTAATTTCAATATCTAACATGTATTAGGTTTTGTGATATCTGCCAGCATCTAACCTCAAATATCATTTCTTATGTGGGTCATATTCTGCTAATTTTTCTTTTAATTTTCTATGTTTACAGATATGTCAAAACTTATCTTTGATACAATGGTCTTCTGAATACAGATGTTATGTTTGACTGACAATGAGTGTATCCAGGTGTGTTGTATAATTAAACTTGTTTTATACTGTATTTAGACACATTGTTATTCCGAATGTGTAAAACTTAAATTTTTTTAAGTTTTTTTAAATGTTAAATTTCTTAGCGAGTTGTAGGTGCTGTATATTTTTTTGGTGCTCAGTTTGATCCAGGTTGTTTCTGCATGACCGCTCGCTGATTTATGTAGGAAACAGAGGTTGGTAGGACAAGGAGGTAATTTTTTAGTTGGTGGTCTCTGTGAAGCATACATGTAGCTAGAGAGAGGACTAGAAAGAAGAAGAATAGGTGACTGGATTGCCTCTTTCCCCTCCCCAATTTTATTTCTGGATTATTTCATACATAAAGAACTGTTTATCCAAACCAGACCAATCATAGTGTAAATGGTTTAGATTAATTTCACACCGGGTTAACTAAAGTAACATATCAAGAGACACAACGATAAGGTTCGAATAATGACAGAGGGTGTATGTTTGATTCAGTTTGGGTCTAGATAATTGGCATTCCAATTTTTATTGTATATAATGATGGCAAAAAGAGTTTGAAGTTTTTGTGACATACATGTACCAAACTCATTATGGCCATTTGCTCAAGGCACTGTTATTAGACATCTGCCTTATATGTACATGTACCTTACTTGGCAACATGTTTCTCCATGCTTAATATTGTTTTTACAACATAGCTTCACTTGTACCTGTAGGTTATATTTAGATATTGAATCAAACCATTGTGTTGCCAACAAGAACCATTATGGTTGTGTTTTAATTGATGTGATATACATGTTTATGTTTTGATTCTTGGTGTTTGATTGGCTGGAATGGGTATACATTTATATGATTTACATTGCAATGTACAAGTAATTTAACATTGACATTTTTCTTAAAGTTCTACCTTTTTAAAGGTTTATGTATTTGTTAAGTTTTGTTGTCAAAATTAGAATAAGATGATGTCATGATTTCACAAAGAAGCAGTAAAAATGATTATTTATTTTTTTATCTTGTGAGAGCATACAATAGTATGATACTGTCTAGATGAATATAATAATATGTTACTGGCTAACGGAATACGATAGTATGTTACTGTCTAGCTGAATACAATAGTATGTTACTGTCTAACTGAATACAATAGTATGTTACATTCTAGCTGAATACAATAATATGTTACTGTCTAACTGAATACAATAGTATGTTACATTCTAGCTGAATACAATAATATGTTACTGTCTAACTGAATACAATAGTATGTTACATTCTAGCTGAATACAATAATATGTTACTGTCTAACTGAATACAATAGTATGTTACTGTCTAGCTGAATACAATAGTATGTTACTGTCTAGCTGAATACAATAGTATGTTACTGTCTAGCTGAATACAATAATATGTTACTGTCTAGCTGAATACAATAGTATGTTACTGTCTAGCTGTCTAGCTGAATACAATAATATGTTACTGTCTAGCTGAATACAATAGTATGTTACTGTCTGGCTGAATACAATAATATGTTACTGTCTGGCTGAATACAGTAATATGTTACTGTCTAGCTGCTGTCTAGCTGAATACAATAATATGTTACTGTCTAACTGAATACAATAGTATGTTACTGTCTAGCTGAATACAATAGTATGTTACTGTCTAGCTGAATAGCTGGTCGCATTGCTGGTTATTTTGCCCATGGACATGACCTGTTATGCTATATATTGTACAGGTAGTTTGTGCCATAGATTATTCTGTTGACTGTCTGAATGTTGATTATTCTGTTGTCTGTTGATTATTCTGTTGACTGAATGTTGATTATTCTGTTGACTGAATGTTGATTATTCTGTTGACTGAATGTTGATTATTCTGTTGACTGAATGTTGATTATTCTGTTGACTGAATGTTGATTATTCTGTTGACTGAATGTTGATTATTCTATTGTCTATTTGTCTGGCTGGTATTATTGATTGTTGCATTATTGATTATAATGTTGGATGTTTATATGACATGCTCGATTGTTCTGTTGAATGCGTGGGGTGTTTATCAAATTTTGTTTTGTCACAAGCTTCTATTTACTGTATTTCAAGTATGAGTATATTCTGTACTGTCATTCCTTTTTCCTATCAGATAATCTAACAGATTTGCAAAACATTTTGCCGAGTAACATTGTTTAGTGGTTTGTAGTTTGGTTCAAAACTTACCTATCCACTTTCAGTATATGAATCCTTAGTAGGGTTTCGGTTGAACATTGTCCTCTCTAGAACTACATTTTATGAGACAAAAATTTTATCGCAGCTAAGAACTCTACACCAAGGTCTTAACAAAAGAAGAATTGAAATCTTAATTCTGTAAACTGTATGCATGTTTATACTTTTTTTATCATACTGAGACGAATCCCTCCGTACTTAAATGGTTGTCGTTTAGATCCTCTCTGTATGCCATGACCTACAATTCAATCACCTTATATATGAACATATAGCTTCCTTGATGATTGTAGCCCAGGGGTTATTTGTGTGACATTTCACTCTGACATTTTGATATCTTTTGTTACAATAATTCTTCAGCACATAGATATTTAAGTATGGTACATAAGACAAACATATGAATAACACCTTATAATATAAATTTAGAGTTAGATGCAGGAGAGACAAACTATAATTTAGCCTGCATCATACAGCTGTTTCGTCTTTTGAGAACTCCTCAGTGATGCTAACGGACTAAATTTTGAACTTATCTAGGTGACAACCGAGGACATTAAAAAAGGCATGCAAGGTACGGCAAACCTCTTGGACCAAAAGTTCACCATTAATATCTATTGTGTTTTTGGGAAACATTCATATATGTGGACACTGCAATACACTGAATGAGAAAATGTTATGTTGTCGCTCTTGGCAATCCTCATGTTAAGTTATTTTGTGTCAAAATGGTCAATTTTACAGAGATAAACCAAACGGTCAAACTAATCCATACTCATTTCAGTTCAATTTTATTTTATTTTCATGTAACACTTTTCACGAAAATCTGTCCAAGATTCTGTCATTGCGTGGGTTATACTAAAGTCAGCAGAATAGTTTGATAACTTAAATTGACAATTAATCTGTTTTTGTAATGTTTTTTGGACATCCAGACTTGTGTTGCATATATCCAAGTGTTTCGGTCAAGGTCACAGTAGACTCGGGTACCTCTTGGAAACCGATTGACCTAAATCCATATAATTTAGAATCAGTGTAATTGCAAATAATGTGTGCTATCTGTTAACACATTTAGAGCTTTTATGTCTGTTATCATTTCTAATAGTGGCAAGGCATTACAGTATTCTTGAATTATTAGTTAGGCGAATATCAAGACCTTTATTTATGGGGCTAGTACACCTCCGAATCTTGTCATTTTGACATGTCTTTCGACCAATTTGGATTTTACTTTGTGGCCTCATTGGCTTCAAAATTAAGGCTCTTAGTATCACTGAAGAGTCATAGAAAAACGAATCAGCAGTATGATGCAATTTAGTTCATTAGATAAATTTATTCTGAAAGGTGCTATTTACTTGTGTGTCTTCTGTGCAGTCTGTGACGTAAGTTTTCAGAGAATGAACTAACCCTATACTTGAACGAAGAACTCAATGTTTTCATCATATGTCTTGTGTTGTAAAGGTAGATTTTACATACATATATATCTATATATATAGTCACAACAAGAGGTATGTTCTTACTAGGTTTTGTATCTATGTCGAACAGTTCCTCATTTATAGCTATCTTTGCCGTCATTACTCCAATTCCGCACAAATCGTTTTTGAAAATTCCCGACATTTAACATTAATTTTGTTTTGTATCATACTTTCACGGGACTCCTTGTTACGGAAGTGCACAGCCGTGTCTTACTGCTGCCTTACATTCAAACCTTTCATCAGATACATTAGATGTGCGGTTCTGTAATCACTTAATACACACGTTTTCATATTACAGACTGTATATATCGTATAGAAATTGGGACATGAAAATCAATTAGCATTTGAAGACTCTTCCTTGCTTTTTTAATTGCAAGAGAATGACAATACCTTTTAATGTCATGTATCATTTGTGACTACACCGTTCAAGTTAGTGCAATGCTCTTTTAACTCTAAAACATCATGTATTCAAGCAGCAAGCAATAGCCAGAAACCGCTCAATCTACATCTGACAGTCCTTGTTAATGACGAGTAGGAGTTGATAATACGGTCTTGGAGATATGTTGCTATTAGCTATTTCGCCAGTTTGGGTTTCAGTTTAACTGTCTTCTGTCGTTTTCCTTTTGTTTTGTGTTACCTGTTGAATGTGCCCAGGTTTTCATGTTTTTGTCTCGCGGGCGACGGTCGTCGGTAGCGCGAAGCGGAACATAGGCGTTGCTTTTCTTGCTTAAAAATTACAAATTGTACAATAACCTAGAAGTGTTATCGTCTCCATACCTGCTTAATAGTTATTTAATTTTTTTTTTAAATGTAGTCGACATTTATTTATTAAGCGAGATGTTAATGTTTTTCGTTTATCTCCGTGTCAAGCTTTGTTTCAAAGAACTTATGTTGTCATTAACATACCTGAAATGTATTAATTATAGATATCAATATCCCAATACACATTTCAAATTTTTATAGTCATCAGAATGTACTGTTCATTGGACTTTATCAATTTTCATGATAATGTTTTCTGTTTGTGTGGATTTTATTTTCTCTCTATGTGCATAAGCTGTCACAACCAGAGTTGAAATATACAGTATTTATATTAATGTATGAGAATCTCAGCACATATTTGAACTGTTGAATTTTATCTACAGTTTATTGTTGTAAATCAATTATCCTATGTTTTCTGTAATTTGTAGGCCTTTAACATGTTGTCTTTAGTTCGAGTCTTACTTGGCATACTTTTGACGATTAAACTTTCTACTAATTTTCTATATGTTTTACTTTAAATCTCAATACATCCAGGATATAATTCTCCTGTTATTAAACGTTTTATTTAACGGAACTGTTTTCCCTTCTATCTTCTAAAAACTGCTCTTTTTACCCCCGACACCTATCATAAACCTATTTTGTTCAATCTAAACATTAATAGCTATCGATTGTTATTTGTAATATGAAATGTTAGACAAACATTTCACACTGAGTTGACGTTAGATACCAGAAATTATGTAATGTAAATTTCATCACCGAAATAAATATGAATGCCGGAGTACATATGAACCCAATTTGTACCAATTTCTATATAAGGTTTAAAAAAGTTTTTTTATGCCTTTAGAGCTCTTATTACTTCATGCTGTATGTTTAAAAAAAAAACCCGGGAAAATCGGCAATTAAACTCATTTTGAAACAGTTAATGTATTTAGATGTACGTCTTGAAGTTCTACACTAAATTGTGTTTAAGGTTCTTGACAATTGATATGTTTATTTGTATCCGCTATCCTTATATAAAGATATCACATTTTGTGACAGAATATCGGATGTCTAGCAGCAGTAATGAATTAGTCGCTATCAGTCAGTTCATAAAACCATATCTATAGTGATGTAAGTATACTTTTGGTTTGTTCAAGGAGCTTTACATTTGTTTGTGTGATAATTCTTGATTTTGATAACGCATGCTTTATTCTATAATTACTGCTGAATAGATCTGAATGTTTATTTAATTAGTTTATTTTACCAATATCCTGTTTGTTATCAACATACGTTTAATGATTTAACCTATATGTATATTTATATAAGTATTTATTTGTGTGATCCAAATTATGTTGTCAAAGATGATTGAATTGTACAAGTCTTACCGTTTGTTATAATTAAAATGATTTTTCCTTATTTTTGTGCGTTACCATAATTATGATGTTTCTTACGCAAGAAGTGGAATCAATAGTATGTTGATTTTAAAGAACTCCTGAGAGCTTTTGACAATCTTCTGAAAAATACAAATATTCTTCTATAAAAACATTTGATTTTCGGAATCTGTTCACCACCATATCCTCTTCTAACCTAAAGGAACGCATTCGTTATCTTGTGATGATAGACTTCGTTTCAACGAAAAGTGAACGTTGGTACAAATATATGGTCGTGAACTTTACTGAAGTGTATTTCATGTTAAATACGTCCAAATCAATGAAGAAATATACAGGGGGCGAAATCATAAAAATTATCATGGTTTTGGTTGACAACATCTTTTTCAAGTTTGTTGGTAAGATCATCCAACGCACTACTGGCAAACATAAGGGAACTATTTTCAAACGAAGAGCTTATGAAAACAAATCACAAGACTTTGCAAAGTAATTTTATTTCAGATATATTGGTGACGTCTTGTCTTTAAATGAGACCATCCATCGTACTTATCCACCAGAAATGGAAATCGAAGACACGACAAACTCTTCCACACCAGTCGCTTATATTGGTCTTTTTCTTGAAGGGAACCAACATGACCAGTTTTCCACCAAGC